CGGGGATGACAGAACGACTCTTATTAAACTAATAACAAATGCTTCAAATAGAGGCTCTGAAATCTACTGGCCTGGTTCCATATGAAGGATATCCCAATCAGTTTTTAGATGGTTTAGCAATAGAAAATGCCCTCTAGAGTATTCAAATATTTATTTAAAATATATACATATGCATACAACTGGGCTGCCACTGTGATGCCACATAGTAGATTCAATACACTCCAGAATACAGAAAACACAGATAAGCTATTTTCTTATGTTTTAACATGCATTTTTATAGCAGACATGCAATTCAAGTGTGACTGAACAAAGATAGAATCAAGGCAGAACAATGATCAATATTTCATCAGACAGATTTTAAAGTATTTTACATGTAAAACAACAAAAAGGTAACCTATAAATTATGTTGAGCCTAACCCTACAACTGTTACATTGACAGAGACAGTAGCTTATTACTATCAAGCCAAGCTTCTCTGAAGCTATTTTAAGGAAGACTAAGCCTTTTAACTACTGGACCAGGAGAATGTGGATTCATCAGCACATTTTCAAGCTTCACAATAATTGGCCTGCACCACTATGTGTGTTCCAGCCTAGAAATCTATTTGGATGAAGCAAGAGAATCCAATACTGATTTTGTGTTAGGAAATGTTGCAGGTGTATGCTGTGCTGTCAATGTAAGACCTTTTCCAAAGGAAATTTATAACAATGCTAGATAACAGACATGAATACAGTATTTCGTAAAATCATGCTATAGAAAAATTGATTTCCTAATACAGATGTAAAAATAATTCTGAATGAATGTGAGATAAAAATATTGATGATTCTCCAATACATTTTTATCATACACATTTAAGTAAAAATAATTTGAAAATACAAGATGGACAGTTAAAATGTATTCAATATAGCCAAACCAGTCCCACATTTCTTAGAATGTCACATTTGTAATTATTCTGTTCAGCCAGTGCTCTTAACAATAAAAACTGAAGTAGAAAAATTGGGTGAAGAACACTGAAAGTGAAGAGAAAGAGAGAAAGAAACAATCTAAGTCAAAGAATACATTATGCCAAACTTATTTTTCATTATTATTGCATTAAAACACTTAATTTATGGTTAAGATTCTCCACAAGTGATGAACTTTTAGGGATGCCAAGTAAAAGCAAAACGGCATCATCTGGTTGTTGAAGAAATCAGTCAGAATTAAAACAAAAGCTGTGGGAATTAATAAGCTGCTGCAGATTCTAAGGTTGTGAGGATATCATGCTCTTTTGACCACAAAATATAAAGCAACGTTTTTTGGAACCACTAGTGGAGGTTCTAGAGACCACCAACTCTCAGTCAAAAGACTTCTCAGGAAAGCATGCAACATACCTGTTCCCTTTTTCTATGGATTTAGTTATCAGGCAATATAAAAACAATCACCTTTTACCCCATCCTTCACTATGCCCTGCTACCTTTCACTAATACTAAATACAAAATACAGTGCAGCCTAACTTTTATCTGCTCTCAGAAACTATACTGTAATAATTTCTGAGTCAAGGAGTTTTTCTTTTCACAAGATAGTTACAAACCAGAGAAAACTGTCATGCTTAAAACAACCTGCTAAGTCATATTGTTTTATTCACTGAAGTGTTGCCCCTTTTGGAGAAACTCAGAATGTCAAAAACTAGCTTCTAGAACCTAAACAATACAGCATTCTTACCTACCAAGAAACAGCTTACGAATGAATAAAAGTGAAACAATTACAAATTATTAAGCTTTTTTTCTTGTCTTTCCCATAAACCACATGAAAAAGCTAGGATTTTTCAGCATTATTTACCTGTGACAGTCTAATCAGTTTATCTCACCTTTAAAGAATTACTACTCATTTTACTAATAAAGTTAAAGACCTAGAAAGTTTTAAGAGTTTGTATACACATCAGCATGCACATGTGTGGAATGACTGCTGGAGATGATTTATTGATATGTGTCCCCCCCGCTTAAGGGAAGGTAAACCTCCAGGGTGGAATGCGGTGGATATAGCAGAAATCTGTTCCATAATAATTCGCTAAGCAACATAACCTGCAACCTTAGATCTTAGCAACACCAGGGGAGCTTGGTATGCTGACTCTGAGAAAAACAACACAGAGGGTGGAGCAGAGTGATGAAGAACATCAACTTCTGCCTCTCAACTTCCCCAAAAGAGAAACAAAAGCCTTACAACTCTTTGCATGCTTCACTGTGCTGTGCTGTCATGTAGAAAGATCAGGGTTTCAAGTTTTATGATCCTGAATGGAATAGCAAAAGCAATACATTATCTGCTAAGAAATACCCACAAAATACCCACTCTTGATTTTGCATCAAAGAAGAATTTGAAACAGTCACAGACCCGTCTTCCTACATGAACAAATGGCAATGATTACCAGCCAAAGATGACTAGATACAAAATTGGATAAGGAAACACGTGGGAAGTGGATGAATATCTTTGCATTAATTACCTTTCAGTTACTTCTTCCATTTAAAAGGATCAATAATAATATTAGTCATTTAGATTTAAAATAAACTGTGGATGGTAACACTGCCAAGTTACAGTAGAGATAAGAACGTACAATATATTAAGAAACCTCTTTCACTGTAACTTTGAGGCATTTGGCTGGTGGTTACTGCCAAAGACTGAGTAGCATCTGCTCTCACTTTAGCAGTTTATATTCTGACTCTGGTGAATGGAAGCACAATCTCTGAAACAGCCTTTGGGGAACACTACTGAGTTGCTCGACAGAGCTCACACTCAGAAAAGAGAGAAGGAGATTAGTATTACAGAAAACTTGAAAGATCTAGCTTCTGAGAAAGGAGAGAAGAACAGTTTCCTAATACTGTACATACCGCAAATCTCTCTTACTAAAACATTAAAAACATGCCCTAAAACTAAAGTGATCATTAAATATGAAAAGATTTAAAGGCAGAAAGTAAGGTCTGTTTAAGTTGTATTCAGGTAAAATTAAGAAAAAACAATGTATTTTATCTCATTCATCAACAGGCATAACCAAAACAGAAGAATGAGGGGACACATAACATTCTTTTTCCTAATGTGCTTGAGAAGGTGACAGCCTCCTTTGCTTAGTCCTGGTGCACCTAGGCCCAGCAACATATGGTAAGACCGAGTTTTGTTGTGAACTTACAATGTTGTTATTTTAAGTGTCCAGTAGCACAAATGACTAAATTTGTGTGTGGTCCTATGCAAACAACAGATCTGGCCACACACAGTGAAAACCAAGCTTCTACAACTTCAAAATCAGCTGAAGGAATTCTCTCCTCAAGAGCCATAGATCCCAGATAGTAGCCACTAGTGAACCCCACAGCCACTTTCAAAACTATAAAAGGCTTCATGTAAAGCCAAAATAAAGCTCTAAAAGTGGCTGCAGGAGATCACTAGGAGTGGCCGCTCTTCTGGATTCACTGCTTTTGAGAAGTAAATCCCTGCAGCTGCTTTTAAAAGCTTTGAAAGTTTCATTTCAATTATCAAAGCCAATAAAGCTTCAAAAACAGCCATAGGGATTTGTTCCTCAGAGGAGCAAACCCCAAAAGGCAGTGATGAATAGTGCGATGGGTTCTGTGGCTCTTAAAGTATGTACAGATTCCTGTAAGTCCTACACTTGTAATTACAGCTTCATGTTGTGCAGCAATTGTTACACCCAGACAGTTCATTAAGGCTTATATGGCAAATTCATTACTCATTTCCCATTCTTTTTAACAGTTTTATGTCTGTTTCCTTTTTGTTTTCTTACACCTGTGTAAACTATTATGTGAGTATCCCTCACAACGGTTTCTCAAACAAATTTCATTAAAACCTTGCTGGATTTCTATCTCAGGTGGTGGTAAGCCATCTCACAAAATGTTGCAAATATGCCTTCCCAGACTGCATCACATAATGCCATCATCACATCATCACAACACAACTATAGCATGCAATATAATTCATTTCTCTGAATGAAAACTTAAAAGGGCACTAATTAAAATACAAGAGTGAAGCTTGACAATAAGTCAGTGAAGAACTTTGTCTGCAACTGCAATATAAAAAGGCTTCCATTAATTCAATGAACATAAACACAAATAACATTTCAGAAGTAACCACATGACTTATAAACCTAACTGTACTGATCTGTAACAAGATTTTGGTCTTATCTTTAAAATTATGAGAACTAGATCCCTAAAAATTTTGCAAGTTTAACTAGTGACATAAGCATAGTCCTAAAAAAAAAAATATGATTTATGCTCCTAACCAATTTGAACTTAGTATCTTAAGACACTGATGGCTCTGAAAATATTACCAAAATTATGTTGAAAAAGATACATTGAGGTACTAGAACATATATAGTATATTAATGAAGTATGTCATATAAAATACATTCTAAGCATACTTACTAACCTTAAATCATCACTAATTTTGAATAGTTATTTTTTCTACTAAAGTTTTTAACTTCTATTTTCAAATGGCAGAATAAATAAACAAACACACCTTTTTGCCAGGATAAATAAACACACCTTTTTGAAAACACGCTGTAAGAAAATCACCATGAACTTAAATAAATGCAGGTGTTAAGAACTGAATAACTGGTTTGTATGGAGAAAGAAAATCTTGACAGAAAACTTCAACATTCTGTTAAATGTTATTCACAGGTGTCCTCTGTGACCTGTACTACTTACTTTACCTCTCTGTTTCAATCTTCTCATGTGTAAAACATGAAGGAGGATTGTGAGAAATAATTAATGTTTGCAAAGAGCTTTGAGATCCTTGGATATAAAAAACATGGGGAAAGCATGAAGTATAAAAGTACCAGCATACTATTTTTTTCCAACTTGAGATAACTAAGTTACTTTTATCACAAAAACCTTGAAAATTTAGTAATACAAGATAATGCAATAAAATGCTTAAAAAACAGTCTTAAGTGCTAAGCATATTCTGTTACTCAGAATCGCATAACTCCAAAGAAAACACTATCAAAAGGAAAGGACACGTTTCTCACCCATTTCAAGTATGCGTTTATGTAGCGGTATAGCAGCAAGAAAGGGTTCATCTTTACAGGACTGTATCTGGGTTCCAACCAAGTCAGAGTTGGTAGCCATAATTCGGGCACTTTCTTCATTAAGATTAACGCCAGCCATAGAGGCAACATCATTGATGTCATCATCATCTCTATAATGAAAAAAAAAAAACCAAATAAAAGTAATTCTGCATGTGATATATTCATTTTGTATATTATCTGCTTCTCCAAAAGTAATCATCATGCAATATGTCCAGTGGCTAGGCCAACTTGAGGCTCAACCACTAGGGTCTGCGTTTTCATAGAATTTATTCTAGATTCAAAAATAACTAAATATTTCTCTGAACACATTAGGAAAACTTTAGAAGCAGGACAATTTGTCTGTAACAGAAGGTGTGACAGGTGTCTTTTCTTCATCTGAGAGTCAGTGATATCAATGAAACCAGGATGGTCAGGAAACTAAAGACAATGATCATCACTAAAGACAAAGCATTTGGCCATTCTCTTTATGCTGAAAACTAGGAGCAAAATGATAAATTAAAACCCTACAGACATTAAAAGCAAAAACATGAATTTGGAATCCTGCACTGTTTCGCAAGTTCCTGTGAAAATGGGCACCAAAGCATTTTCAGCAATAGTCAGGAAAGATTCTTTGACCATGATGAGTTCATAGGTAAGTCTGGGTTCCAAGTGCAGTTCGAGTATGTGCTGGTATTTTCTCTGGCAACATACAAAAATCGGTAGAACGTCAACTAGTTTTAGTAAAATAAGCTGCATTTGAGAAGATGATAGCAGCACTTCCTTGGCCACTGTTTGCCCTGCAATACCCCTTCCTAACAGCTGGAGGAAGTACTGACTAAAAAATTTGAGTTTCCACACCTGTATCTCCCAAGCATCTTTTACCTCCTACCTCTATGAGGTATGACTCATAACTGTGGAAACAACCATCTGTTTTTAGCACATTCTGTTCAGGAGCTATTACTGACACAAACACTGTGTTTCAGCATATTCTAGGAGTGATTACAGAACCTTTGAGAATATATATATACGGAAAAGATCCACATACATCCAAGTCCAGACTCCTACTACTGCATAAAGCAAACAAAGAAAAGCTTAATTTAAAAGATTTTTTAAAAAATTATTACATAGATACCGTCCTGTGCACCCTAGAATACTTTCTGTCACTTGTAACAAGTTTAACACCTACAGTAAAAACCAAAAGCTCCAAGTAAGGTTTGAGACAAAAGGGGAGAAATCCAGAAATCCATCATCTAGGTCCTCCCTGTCCTCCCATACTCTCCTTGATATCTACACTAGAGTAGCCAATTTTGGTGGAAGAATTCTGTGGTTTTGTTAGATAGTGGTTTTGTTTTCTTTTGCGGGAAGAAGTCAAGAAGGGATTTTTGTTTGTATAAACCTGGAGAAATGTGCTGAACACTTGAGGCAGAATATGGAAAATTTTACAATGATTGTCAGAAAAATGCTACACAAATGAGCTTTTATTATTTTCCACGAGTGCTAAGCACTTGATTTCTTCTCTTAGAATGAAATTCCTGAAGATAGCATCACAAAGTTGATCTGCCTTGACGACTTTCATGTTGAGTCTAAAGGATTGTCATTTCTACATTTCACATGGTATGTATATGATACCCATAGGAGGGTCACAAGAGCTGCCGTGAAGAAACTGGGCTCCTATGCATTCAGTGCATAGACAACTGAACTACTCTTCAGCCTTGTCCAACCAGTTGTGAAACTGCTCCCAAATATCACAGCTGATAAATGTACTCAGCCACATAACTAACAGTGACTTAAATATTCAGTTATGAGTTCAAAAGATTCTAACTACAAATGGAAAACAGCAACTAAAACTGAAAAAGGGGAAAACCTAAGATTTTGGGGAATTTAAAAACCTCAGCGTGTGAAATAGAATGAGCATTGTCAAAGGTAATCTACCCAGGACTCAGAAGGCCCAAATCCAGCAGGCCTTTTAAACCATGGCAAAACCAAACTCATATAAAGGTTGTTACCATAACACAAACTCAAAACTATGTAAGACAGTAGAAGCTACTGGAAAACAGACTTGAGCCCAGAATTTCAAAATAAAGCTAAAACCAATGAAACTACAAAGCATTAACCAGCTTGTGCAGTTAAAAAAAAAAAATTAAAATCCAATATTGATTCGCAGTGGACCCCCACATCTCTGTGGGTGTGAAGGCAGCACTGCTGCCCTGTGGGGTCCGGCAGTGCCTGGGTACCGCTGCCTGCTGAAGGGACCCGAGCCCAAGGACTCAAAGGATCTCAATAAAATATCAACTGAGCAGGATACTCTCATGCTTTCTCTATATACAGCCCCCGTTATCCCACTTGCTTTAGCAAGCATTTATCACGCAGTTATGCACAATCTGGCTAGCAGTAAGTAATACAGTCTCAACACCATACTTCCAGATCGGGTTGGCAGTACTGAGGTACTTTCACCTCCTTCAAGTAATCATCCATACAAAAATCAAGTCTCTTGACTTCAAGAACACAATTTTTAAGAGAAGTTTATACTTATCTCTACTTTTACTTAATAGCTGAAGAAAGTACAATCTCTTTTCTCTTACTTCTGCTTAGCATTTTAGCTATTCCAATTTTTATTTGGAATACAGATGTGACCACATTATAAATAAACAAATATTGTCTGAAATAAAAACAAACAATTAATTTGGGGACAAACCAGGGTTCCAATGAAATTATCAAAATCAATGTGATACCACTTTTAAAGACACTGTAAAAAAAAAAGTTACAAAAAGTACAGTGATTAAAAATCACTGTAACTCCTGGACAGAATCACTTGCTTCCATCTTACATTGGCAATCTACTATCTGTGAGTACATCTTTTTTTTTTTTTTTTTTTGTTACATGGAAGATAGATATGAAATGTTTTAATCATAGTTGGCACTACAATTTTTTCAGTCTAATGGAAAAAACTCTACCAATATATACTTGTTGACTTTGATGAACTTTATCACAATAAAGAGCTTGGGTTTGCATACTGAAACACACACATGCATTGAGAAAGAGAGAGAGAGGGGACTAGCATTCTTGCCAAACAATTTCCTATGAAAGTCAACTTTTAAGTGCAGATGAGTGAATTTTCAGAAGTCATTCCGTGGAACAAAGATGCCATCCAGTGGTCGTCTAGATTGATGATTACTGTCTATCCTTCCCTTTTCACCCCAGCACAGTATTTAACAATTTCATGTTTCTTGCCATATATTACTGTGCTCATACTAATTATACTGTTTTAGTAATTATTTCTGTTTTTTACTGAACTAAAGTCTGAGTCTTGTGGGATAAATCTAACATTCCAACAGGCATGCTACTTTTAAGGAGACAGCATGGGTTCTCAAACCCTTTCCAAATGCAAGCTACATCTTAAAGTAGTCTAAGAGTTCAATCCTTCCTCTTATATTCAACCTCTTGTAACACCTCTCCCTCTCCTCTTCATTAAAAACACTCATGCAATTACAAAAAAACCCCACACCAAAAAACCAAACTTATCTGAAAATAAGAAAGAAAAAACAAAGTATTTGCACAGTTGTCCGCAACATGTTTCAAAGACTTTGTTTAAACTAAGACAAGCCGTTAGAAAAATGCGGTAGCATTTTCTTTATGAACAAATCTTAACTGCACAATTGCATGCTGTTCTTTCTCAAGCACTTTGTAACATTTGAGCCAATGATGTCCAAACATGAAATACTGAACTGCTTCCAAATAAGCTATAAGAATACATAAAGCAACTGAGACAACATTATACTATTGATTCCCTCTCTCTCAGAAGTGAGATCTCAAGTTGTTAGGGCAAAGTCCCTACATGTATGCAAGACTCTGAGCAAGTCTACAAATTCCATGGATCATAAGATCAGAGATCAACAACAATACATTGGATATAAACAATGACTTGAAATTACAGTAACAGTCACTACTACCTCACATTTTTAAATGGCATAAATTCCCTTTACACAAATTTATTATAATGCTTATTCTGACTTTCAAGCTTTAATTTGAAATTTCTCCCTAATACTGCTTTGTCATACAATTCAGTCACAGTCTGTGTTAGGTCTTCTCAATGATAAGCAAAAGGGATGACAGAACATACCACATTTGTGGTCAACATTTTTCTTTATTTTGAAAAATATGGAAAAATACACAATCATCTTATAGCTTGAAATATTTATTTGGAAAACCAAAGAATCTTAAAGCTTAAGGCTTTATGTCATATACCAGTTTGAGATTAAAACTTTGAAGTTATCCATTTAACACTTACGTAAGCTTTCTATCTCTCCTCAAAGGACAGGCTGCTTTGCACATTATTAGATGTAACACCATGCATTTTGAGGCATTTTGCCAGAACTATGTTATTAGACTTCTATTTTTAAAAATAAAAATAAAATAACAGGCAACAGATTCTTCTGGCTAGGCAAAAGAGGTCTGAAAACAAATTTTTTATTCCCAGGTAGACTCTACTTTAAAATGTTGTCAGTCAGCAGCATAAAATATGAATACTAATATAAGCTTCAAGTGATCACAGTCACTTCGTAGAACTGATTCTGAAAAAAACCCCATCACATTGGCTGTATAAAACCTGATACAGGCTCCAAGAGGTTATACATAGCTTCAAAATACTGTTTCAGAAAAAGAAAGGTTCCTGTGAAGAGGAAGGAGAATCTGGCTAGCTGGTACACTATGGCAAACGCATCATCAGCACACACATTAAAGAACAGTTCTGTCCACTTCTTGCCTCATTTTACATGCAATGCCACTGAGCATTACTCAGTAGTTAGGAAGCAGTAGGATAATACAAGAGTACAAACGCCTGTCTCCATCCTTGGAGATATGTAGAACTAGAAGAGTCCCCGATGTAACCAAACCTGCTCTGAGTCAGAAGTTGGACTAGTTGACCTCTCAGGGTCCCTTCCAACTGAAATTATGCTGACTCAGTATCAGGGGAAACAAATGTTTCCACTAGTTCTTTATATTGGCCACAATCTGAACTATGGGGAATAATGACTTTGAGAGTCTGCTACTTTCACTGTCATCACTGGTAGATTATGTTAGCGGGAGCTCTGAGATTACCAAACTAGATGATGATGTGCACAGCAGCTGTAGCCAAATACGCAGGTCCCTAGCAGACTTCAGTGGGCCTTCTGCTTCACCTCTCCCAGCTACAGAAACCTCTGCCTAGACTATTATGGTACAAATGTAAATCTAGATCTCTACTGTAAAACAAACAAAAAATGGAATTCAAATTTCCATCGTTAGGTGTTAACATAGTTGAAAGTCAACTAAATGGATGTTGTGGTTTAATCCCAGCCAGCAGCTAAGCACCACACAGCCACTCGCTCACTCCTCCTCCCTCCCAGTGGGATGGGGAGGAGAATCGGAAAAAAAAATAAAACTTGTGGGTTGAGATTAGAACAGTTTAATAACTAAAATGAAATATAATAATAACAGAATAACAATAATTGTACTCGAATATAACAAAAAGAGATAAACTAGACCCAAGTGATGCACAATGCAATTTCTCACCACCCGCTGACCGACGCCCGAGCAGCGATCCGCCCCTCCTGGCAACTCCCCCCAGTTTATATACTGAGCATGACGTTCTATGGTATGGAATATCCCTTTGGCTACTTTGGGTCAGCTGTCCTGGCTATGGTCCCTCCCAGCTTCTTGTGCACCTGCTTGCTGGCAGAGCATGGGAAACCAAAAAATCCTTAACTTGGGATAAGCCCTACTTAGCAACAACTAAAAGTGTGTTACCAACATTATTCTCACACTAAATCCAAAACACACTATACCAGCTACTGGGAAGAAAATTAACTCTATCCCAGCCAAAACCAGGAAAATGGAGTTGTCTGTAGTTCTCTCTGAAAAATATAGCAACAATAAATTTTAATACTAAAAAGGGTGACACAAAATTTCACAAATACAACAACTTCACATTGCAGAAGTCTTGTGTTGAAAACTCTATGTCATAGAATAGCTACTATAATATGCAGCGAACTCATGTAAGCAGTCTTACAGTTCATTAATAAATGCTGACATTAAAGGCTAAGCTGTAATTTGCAAAATTCCTAATTGCTACATCTTTTATGTAATTCCTTCCTGTATTTCCCACAGTCCGGAATAGAAGAAACTGAAAAAAAAACAAAGTTCACATTTCCATTTCTAGTGACCAACACTTTGCTCACAAGAGTGAAAAGCTCAAGTAAGTTATTTTAAAGAAAGCTGAATATAAAATAATGAAACAAATATGCAATAATAAAACACTAAGGGCAAAATAAATTTATACACAACACAACTATTTTTCAAAATTCTTGCTTTGCTTTAGATGCCAGTTTGCCTTCTGGCTAAAAACACATTCTTCACACACGCTGGGAATGTTGAGGAAAACTAGTCAGCATTCAGAGGATTAATACAGATTTCCAGCTCTATGCCTTTAGGCCTAATAGTCAGACATCTATTTGTCCTCAGGAGAGGTTAGGGGTTGAAATGCAAATATGCAAACAACTGAATTCTTTGTTAAGATATCAAGAAAAAGCTTGATCTTTGCTGCTGTTTAATAAATCCTTGCAATTTTATGGACTTATTTAAATGCAGCTTTGTGTCTTACTATTTTGAAGGAGAAAACAATGCAAGGAAACAAACACATTCATTCTGACTAAAATTTGTTCTCTAGAGGAAAAATGACATACACCCTTGACAGCTTATTTACCAAACTCACTAAAGATTTATTGATTTATCAATCAGTGCCTTGAGCATTTGCTTCTCCCCAAGGGAAAATTAACAATTCCAGCTAACCTAATATATTCTATGTATAAACTAAGTGAATGCAAGAATCAATCCTGGCACAGTTTACAACATCCAGTTAAAAAAATGCTGTCCCTTTCGGTGTATGTAAAATTGAAAGCTATACTAACGAAGAATAAATGCTCATGTTGCTTACAAACATAAAAAATACTTATTAAGACAGTACAATTGAACCCAACAGACATTTTAAATCATTTAAATACTCAGTGGGAGGCAAAAGCATTGGAAAATAAAAAATTGAATTATTTTGCTTCTAGATTAATACTAAGTACTACCACTATTAGTTGCAATACTGACATGCCTCAAAGCAGAGATATTTCAAAGAGCTACAAATTCTCTTTCACTTCACCTGAAAAAGCATAAGCCTTAAAATTAATTACTGTTTTGATGATGTCAGAGCAACATAAGGATTCCAGAAGACAAAAATGAAAATCTAGGAATATTTTATCATTTAACAAAGAAAGAAAAGGTTTAAGTACAAATAAAATGTACTTTCATCAGTGGAAAAAAATTAAAATGGTGGTAGCAAAAGCAAAATGCAGTAAACAGAAAATAAGCTTTTCACTACAAAGAGTAAAAATATCCAAAATATATATAAAATAAAAGTTTGAAGTACAAAAGAACTGGTATAGCAGCTCAATGCATCAATGCTACTGTGTTGAACTTTTGCAGCACCTGATCACTACAAGAACCCAGAGAATGCCCCCACCTCTGCCACCTAAATAAGCACATGAAGAATAGATACAACAGTGTTTTCTCTTTAAAACCAAGAACAACAATCCTACACACACACACCAAAAAACCCAAAACCCACTATCAAAACCATACAGTAGTTTCTCTATGCTGATGAGGAGATAGCTGCAGCTTAGCTGCAGAAAGAAGCCTATCGACAGGATGCCTTGTCACAATTAGTATCTTCTCAGCAAGATATGTTCCATATGAACATTAGAATGCAATACATAAAACCAACCATGTATTTTTTTAAAAACTTCATACACGTAATTCCGTTTACCAGAAGTTTTACTATAATCCACAGAATTGAAGTCTTTACTAAACATTAAAAAGCGCATTTAGAGAAAAATCCTCAAGACATGTCATGACCCCCTCCCTTATTTAAAAATAGAACTAAGTAAGAAAATTGTCATCCAATCACAGTAAGAAAAGGCAAGAAATATTGTAAAACACTGCCCTCTGGTGTTAAGCCAATTCTAAATCCTGTTTTATATTTAAAATCCCCCCCAACCACCCCGCTGCATTTTTTTTTTTTTTTTTTTTTTACCTGAAAGAACCACCTCCAGGGTCATTTAGCTTGTTTTTCTGATTTGCAGAGACCTGAACACCAAAGCCCCCAGGACTTTTGCTGGCTTGTATTGTTGGTGCCTTCCCTACTGTGCCTGAAAAACACCAAGCAATGTTATTACGAGCTGTCTTAGACAATTTACATCAAAGAACCTTCTGTCCAGGAACTAAATTTAACTGTCTGTAAATTGCAAACAAAGGAAGTTATTATTTTTAAAGATTACACTGCTGAAGAAGAACAATTTAAAATACAAAATTTATATTAACATTACAGTTTGTTCAATATTTACAGAATACTGAAGATTCCAAAACTGAAAACCATTGGCCATAATACACATAACGGCTGTAAGTGTGTTTGCAATTGCCAATAAACCACTTTTCTAGACAATCTGCACAGAATAAAGAAGCAGAATTTGAAATGTTCTTAATACAGATGCTTTAAGTCACAGTCACTCAGGGTATTAACTATGCCTTTTACATTTTTGTGTATAGTCATTGTTCTTTGTTGCAGTGAAAAACATGTATTTTCAGAGTTGAAAACATTATTTTAAGTATTTTTAAATGTTTTATATTGTATGTAAAAGAAGAAACACTATTGTAAAATTTTATATAACCCCCCCTCATAAAGGTTGTCTTTTACTTCATTTTGAAAACAATGATTTCAAAGTAATTCATATCTGTATCTAGACTTTACAGGTCTACATGTAGAAGTAATACTGGGCTTTCTAAATAATCCAAAGTGCGGTAGACATGCAGCTTCTTGTGACAGTAAATTAAAAAATGGATATGAATTCCTCGCTGATATTTGGAAAAATCTAACCAAAAATAATTACCAATTTATGTTGCTGATTAGTAAATCAACAGACCTCTATTATTATTATTTAAAACACTGTATCAGTATGCAACTGAAAAAGCACTGACAAATGAAACTTTTGGAGTGAGCCCTCCTGCTTAAACACGTTTACCTGGGTTATATTTTGTGTTTTCTTTAATCCCATCTGTGTTTTGGCATGTGAAAATAATTAATTCATATGTCTACTTGACTTAAAAGCTCTCACCTTTTTCTTGTCTATCACTCAATTTTATTACATACACATAGTGTTTGAGACTTTGAGAAGCACATGTAAGTTATTCCTGCACACCTATGACTCAATTGCATATAAATGGCATGGTATGAACCTTAGTAGAGTTACATTATTTTTCTTTCATTAATTGTAAAAACCTGCAACACAACTAACCCAACAAATCCTTTAAAGAACACTTCTTTGCTAAAACAAGTGTCAGCATTGAATGAGTCCAGCATTACTTTTTTTATTTTGAAGTCTTCATCAACTTCAACATATGATCTTAAAGCAAAACTAATTTGACAGTGTTCGTTCAGTTCTTCAATCTGCATAAACTGTTGTGTGGACTCTCAACATTAGCAAATACAAAACAAGATTTAGGACTTCAGGCTCCAAGCCTGGGGAACAAAAATATTTTGTCATCAGAATATTCAAGGTCCATGACATGTCACAGAGAGCATTAGTTCATGGACCACACAATTCATATATTTATTTCAGACGAACTAATTGAAAGGTTTTCTACTAAGCGAACTGGAAGGAAAGAAATAATACAGTAATAAAAATTAGCAGATCTCCATTTTCTACAATTAACATCTCGGAGATTAGAAGTGTGTTAACCTTGAAAATTATTGCAATGGCAAAATTAAGGTAACAGTGGCATTCCTCCAGAATTAATATTGTATTCCTTTAGAACTAGTATCAATGATTTGTTTTCTACAGGTGATAACTTTTGATCCAAAAAAAAAAAAAAATCCAACCCAAAAAGGTACAGCAACAGAGTAGGTAACTTCTTAGTGTCAGGAAAACTGTAAGTCTACATTGGATATGGAAAAATTAAGTCTTACTTTCTTTCACTCTATATATATTGTAATTCTACTCAAATGGATCTGGCAAAGTAAATATAAGTTTTGGGATGACATACAAATTTTCTGGTTTAAATCACAACTTTGCATGATTAACCAGTTAGACACAAAATATAGCTAAAACATCAATTTATATTATGAAGCAGGGCATATTTTCAAAATTAAAATCACTTGTGGGCCTAGATATTCCATGGGATTGGTAATGACATACAGAGTCTTTCACCACTGGGTCCTCATTTCAAATTTTAAGTAGCATGATCTGGAGAAATAAGCCCAAATTTAGGAGCTTATAAATTCCTAGTTGTATTCCTGCACAGGTTAAATAGCTGCAATGAATACTCTGGCTAATTATTTTTTTCTTTGGCTCAATTCCCCCATCCATAAGATGCAATTCACCTCATTATTATACTGATAAGTGCTTTGATAAAGGAGTGTGAATTTTTCATGCAATAACTGTAGTGTTACTTCCCCTGGTGTGGAAGCAATTTTGTTGATATAGAAGTCCTCAAAGCCTGCCAACTTTACACTACTGTTTTAAAAAGCATCACTGTCCGTTCACATAGATGCATTAATATTAATGTAAAGATACATTACGGTAGGAGATTCACTCCTGTCTGAGAAGGAAAACGCACCATTCTGTGGAAGTCAGCTTAGTTCTGGTCTAACTATCCTCAAAAAGTCCCACTCCACAAAATTATACTACTGTAATTTTCTATATAGACCATGTCCTATTCCAGTATCTTACCTCCTTCTACAGGAATACCTAGGCCAGTATAAAATAGCATTATACTGGTGTTTACAGTAGAAAGCTTTAACAAGATATCAAAATCAAAATGAACTGTTATCTGACAGTATGCCTTAGCAGCATTTCTTAGAGCTGCAAGCACACAGGTGGACTTCTCCCTAGACATGGGCTACAGGATGAACAGTTGTACAATGGGACGTTTCCCGAATTCCTATTGTTTGCTTTGTCTGTGTAATTAAAACAATATAGTGGTGGGCTTAAACAAGCTTGTAAATAGGAGTAAGCTCACCTGAAAGCAGGGCTTTGTATGAATTTGCCTTTCTGAACCGCTGTCTTCCTTAAGCCAAATTGCCAGTTAAGTTGCATTTCATTGGCTGATCAATGGCTATCATGAATAAATTCATATTCTGAACCCACTGTTTAAAAGGCAGATGCTAGTATCATGCAAATTCTTGGCACACTGTTGACATTCACAACTTAGAGACTGAACAATCAAAGAAATGAAATCAGCCTTCACTCTCAGACACATTAGTCAGAAGTGAAAGTTCATGCCATAAGATGCCAAATAACTTCCCTGTTAATAAAGTCAGGACATGAGTATCAGTGCTATCAAATATATGCTTTTTATGACAAGTAAATGCATTTCTTCCTAACTTGGAAAAACAGCCTACAGGATTACAGTGAGAGCTTGGTCTCCATGTCCATTCAAGCTATGGATTCTCTGAAGAGAACAGAGCAAGCAGAACGTCAGCTGCTATTAACTGTGATAATTGGGGGTTTTAATGCTTTCTTTTCCCAAAGAGAACAGAAAAGACCAAACAATGAAGTCAAACAAGCAGCAGTATCTTTTATGTGCATTTAACCTAGTTTGATTTCTGATTCAATACCTAAAGATGACAAGCTCTGTATTCCATTACAAACCCTCAGTCGTCTAAATGCCCACATCCAGAAAGATACTCTCACATATAAACAGGAAAAATAAAAACCGAGGTCTAGTGGTGGAAAGAAACAAAGGGATATTTATTAGAAACTAAGAAGGCTTCAAGAACCCTCTTAAAAAAGTGGGCTGTATCAGCCAGACATTACATCCACCTGTGCACAGACAGATGAGGAAGTTGTGTACAAACCACACTTCTTGCTCCCCTGGCTTATCATGGCATGTCAGGTTGCTGCAATCAGTCTCTGACCTCACCAAAGAGTAAACATACTGGCATGGAGACAAAAAAAAAAAAAAAAAAGGCCTATGGGTTGAGAAATTTCTCTAGGACTCCCACCTTCATCTCTGTAGCTGCAGAGACAGTGACTATGATGTTCTGCTTCAGGAGTAAGAGTTAAAAATAGGATGATTAAATTGAGGCATCCTCTAGGCTTCAGGAAAAAAAATGCAGAATTTCTTTCTTGGCCCAGAGTTAGAGCTTAGGACAGTAAGAGTCAAGTTCCTGACTTCTTTCAGAACTTTTCCATGAAAAAACTGCTGAGTAAGAGCTAAGCATGTGAGAGTTAGTCCTAAGGTTCTTTCAAAACATTTCACTGGGTTGGTCTGAAATACCTTGAAACTGCATAGTGAAAACATGCATTCCACAGCCAGTATGAAGTAAAAAATGAATGTCAAGCCTGCCAATGTCAACACTGTAAGTTTTTCCCATGCTACTAGTTTGTAATTACAATGAAATTCATACAAAGGTAACAATCTCACTAAAACATTTAAACCCATACCTTGTGGTCTAATGGTCTGAGTTATTACCACTGGCATCCTAATCTGGGTAGTCTGGCAAGCAGGGTTTCGTTTCACAGTTTGAGCAGATGTTGACTGGATAATCTGCTATTATTAAAAAAAAGTATACTTATATTATACTCTTTATACACAAACACACACAACGTAAATATACTAATACCTGTAATTACTAATATAAGCACGTGGATCTCTAAAAGCACAACCAGCTAGTGACAAAAGTCATAGTCATGTAATGCATGTGGTTGTGTGTGTGTGTATATACCTATTTTGCCATTATGCCTTAAAAAAACCAAATAATATTCGACACAAATGTCATATGTCACAACCTTCATCAAAAATATATTTCAAAGGAGTAAGACAAACATTAAAGTTTAGACTTTTGTCTTCAGAAATTTTACTAGGAAGAAAAGCATTTTTGTAGAAGAAAATGCTGCAATAATTTTAGTGGTATCCACCTACAACCGTTAGGCCATTCACTATATATCTATGCTTTTTAAAGAAAATATATACTAAAAGTAAATTCTAAAATATTATGGGTTCCAAAGTCAGATATACACAAGAAAGAAAAAAAAATGGTTTGTGCTGATCATATACTAGTCATTTTTTAAATGTTAACTGGATATTCTCAAGGTTTCACTCACTACTAAGCCAAGTTCTGAAGTCCCTACCCAAAACTGAAACTGGGTTAGAAACTTAGAATTTGACCCATAAACAAACTGAAAAGAAAAAACCTGCAAGGGTCATGTCTAAGCAACAGCAAAACATATGTTCATAAAATCAGGGACAAGGTAGGCACAGATGTAATAAACAGAAGATTCAAAAAGACGTGTGGATGCTGTAGATGTAATGAACAGAAGATTCAAAAGGACGTGTGGATGCTGCAGAGCTGGAAAAAAAAATCCATGAACTTTGAAAACAAAACACAGGCAAATAGCTGCGAATAAGATTACAACCACAACTCAGGCGTGACAACTTCAGAAGTCATGCTCTTCGCAGTCACAACTATGTTACTCCCATTGCATGTGTCTGCTGTTTCTGAATTACACATCTCAGTCTCACAACCACAGGTATTCCCTCCTAGAAGACAAGACGCCACACTACACACCGCTACATGAAGCGAACAGGAACCACTGCATCTTTATTCAGCACCAGTCAGCATTATTCTTACAAAGTGCATCTAAAACCTTATTATTTAGCTGAATCATGAATAGCCAAACCTCTGACTTCAAAGTACGCTATGGAGAAAAAGAAAGGAGAAACAGTATTTTCAAACGAGACATAAAAGTAGAGAATGAAGAGGCTTGGAACAAATAGGAAATTGTTCCATCAGCAGGAACCAGGGCTCCCAAATCGGAAGGAAGAAAGGTGAAAACTACAAACAAGAAAAGACTAGTGAGGGAACAAGACCTGTAATGTAGTCTGGAGAAAAAAAAACAAAAACAAATAGGGCCATTTTGAAATTACGAAATTGCATTCTGTACATCCTAAAATATTAAAAGTTGGAAAGTCGTAATAAACCTGTGGATGTAGAAGTAATAGCAATAGCTACCTTGCAGAAAGAGAAAAGGGATAAAAAGATTAAGGATTCAGCTTCAACTGTGGACACTGAAGGAAAATGGAGGATTTGTATTAAGCACAGAAATGGAGCAAATGGATGTAAATTTACTTGGTCAAGACAGGCAGTGAGTAAACAGTGACACTCAGAGGGAGGAGAATAAAGTAGCTACCGTGCTTAAAAACAGGAAAGAAATCGAGGTGATAAATGAAAATGAGGGATAAAGTTGAATTTGACTGCATTTTGATGAACGGGAAACATGTACAAGTCTATTTTAATAAGTAAGAAGACAGAATAGCCTGCAGGAAGAAAAAAAAAAAAAAAGACTATATTGGTATGAAAAAGGAGGAGACTGTTGCCACTTTTACAATAATTTATTGGATGAGTTTTCAGAGAATAGTGAAGAAAAGCAGCCATACCTTAACTGGCCAGAAGCCAGGCCAAAAAGGAGATGTGTGTGACCTGTGGATAGAATTACTATCTGGTATTACAGTAATTGTCTGCAATTAGATTTTTTTCTCTGTGAAGCAAGCAACTTCTACAGTTCAGAACCAAGTTCTGTTTCACCTGATTAGTATTTTCACATGAATACCCTAAAAAATGAGCCACTAACACCATTAAAGATAGGACAATATTTAACCATTTGAGATGACATAAATCATTGCAATGTTTTCTTTATTACCAAATACATTCAAAAAATGTCCTTTTAACAAGTACTGTACTAGGACGTCAATGCACGTAAAAGTGCTGAAAGTGTAGAAAATGAATGAGAAATAAATTTTTCCAACGGGCACAGATCAAAATCATCACCTTAAATTCCATACAGAAACGAATCAGCAACAGTACATACTCTCTAAAAGGAACAACTGCACCTTAACAAAGAGCAACATTTTACACTAACTTAAATTCCAGTTTCTATACAGTTTTAAGATGCATTTCAACACAGATGTCATCTTCAGATCCAAAAGTGATTAAGGAATGAACATTAGGAATTTGTTTCTGAAACAGAATGCGTAACCTTATTTGCAGGCAAACAAGGGACATAGTAAAAACTGATGAATCAGAGGTAATTGACACTGCATTAAAATTTATAAACAATCTAAACCACTCTTCATCAGCTAAAATACTTCAAACTGTTCTAATCTTCTTGCCTATTTTCCCAACAGCATAAACATTACTATTATGTCCTTAACTTGGCCTGAAAAGTTTAGACAATGAACAAGGTACTAGCAAGATAGTCTGGAAGATGGTTAACTTAACCAAATTATTTCATATTTCTCACAGCCTAAAAATACACACAATGAGTGTACCCCGTCTAATGTTACCTATTCATATGCTGAATAGATGCTGAATCCCAAATGGTCAGTTCATAAGCACCAATTTACTAACCCAGACTGACATAGAAGATACAGAAGTGGATGTTTTGGTATACTGAGGTTATCAGAGACATTACTTCAGCCTTGAGAAAAGGGGAGATCTTATTGCTGTCTGCAGCCACCTACTGGGAAGATGTAGAGAAGATAGAGCCAGACTCTCTCAGAGGTGCAGAGCAGAAGGATGTGACACAATGGGCACAAGCTGGAATATGGGAAATTTCAATTTAATATAAGGAAAAAAAAAAATTTACCGTGAGGGTGGGCAAGCACTGGAACAGGTTGCCCTGAGAGGCTGTGTCATCTCGTCTTCAAGATACTCAAAACATGACTGGTCAAGGCCCTGGACAACATGCTAACCTATTAGCAGGTGGTTGGACTAGACACCTCCAGAAATCCTTTCGAACCGTTTACCACTACATCCATATTCATAGCATCAATCATCTTATAAAAGTGCTGTCAGAAAAGGTAAACAAGACAGAATATAAAAGTCTTCAAAGTGTACAGAAACTGTTCGTAATTCCATCTCCACTAAAAAGAAGGGAAGCCATTTTCATTATTTCCACCACTGAAGACAGCAAGCACAACAGCAGAACAGTAACAACAAAGGCACAGAAAATAGAAAAGATTTCATGTGATTTAGCCATTGCCAGGATTTGATGAGGAGTTTGGAAAATAGCAAAATTACCAAATAACATTATGATCAAGACAGCACCAACACAGCAAGTACTGTCATATACCAGCTTATTCCTCTTCAATTTATCAAAGTTGAAGAATCGTCTCCTAGGCTGCTGCACTTTGAAGCTCTTAAAGTAACACACTGAAGCAGGAAAGTCATGGTACTGCTTCTCCGAGTACAATACATCAGAAGTTACCTAAATTTTTTTTCTATAAAATAACATTTTTCTGCAAAACAAGATGCACTTTTCTCACAATAGAAAGTATTCTCCCGCTTTTTTTATTTCATCTTTCCACTTCTCCCCTTAACCGTCATCTTTCCACTCCACTAGTAACGCTCACTTAGGTTCACCATTTGTATATTCCTCCAGACAAGTTCCTTCTCTCACTTTCCAAATGCTTCATACTACTCTGTCCATTTCTAAAATTCACTTTATTTTCACATATGTAAAAAGGGATGTTTATACAAAGATGCTTACACAAAACAAGCAGACTTACGAAGATGAAAAAAGGGTACTTAACAGTCACACTACTGATAACCAGAATAACAAAGTGGTGACAGCTGAAATACTCATTTTTCTTGAGGCCCTTCTTCAAAAAGCTTAGATTCAATGACTATGAGAAAAAAGTAATAGTTATCTCTGGTCCTAATCTCAAGCCAAAAGGTGATGATCATACCATGACAGGTGTGAATCTTCTACCGTATATGTTATTGCAGGACAAAGAACAAATTACAGATGTCAACACAGACCAATAATTAACAACACAAATGACCAACAAATACAGACTGAGAAAGAATTCAGCCAAAGCACATAAAATGTATAAAAGTAGAAAGACTGCTAACTTCCATTCTCTTTGTCTTACCTGAACAGGAGATACTGAATAAAAATGAAAGCTACTACCTACAAACCATTGAAAGGAAAAGTCCTTGAGGACAATTAAATTAGAACTCACTGCTGAAGTTTTTCAGGACAAAGATTTTGCAAGTCTCAATAATCTAGATGCTCCTTTACCAATGCAGATGCATGGGGTCCCAACAACATGCTTCCCCTTACTTGACAAGGGCTGCAAAATCAGTCTGACTCAATTTACGTAAATCACACTTTGCAACAAAAGCATCTGATCCAAAAGCTTAAGCATATCAAATAAAGCAATAAAAACAAAAGCATAGGAAACAGAAGCTTCTGCAAAGAATGGAAAATAAAAATAAATTTGGAAAATATATCCTTTACCAAGCATTTTTTCTCTCAATTAAGTTTAAAAAAAAAGTATTGTGGAAGGAAGAAACAAGCCACTTGTACATGTACAAAATTCAAAATGGCTATGGTCTGATATGACATTTATCTTCACTCATGAGTAAACACTTGCTAACTCACTTGTGGCTATGCCACTTGTGATTTATCAGTCTACTCACTCCTGAAGATAAATGTCATATCAAACCTCAGCTATCATGTAATCTGGCAGCATTAACTTACAATGTTCATGCTCTTATGGGCCTAGAATTCATATTTACCATTGTTTACCATGCTGTAATAGTAACAGTTACAATTTTTCAACAGTGCCTTGAAATTTGCATAAGCAATTCTTTTTCCTCCCAAATAAAACAAAGGGACTTTTTTAAAACTCAGCATGTAATTTTTAATGTTAATATGACAACAATATTGTTCCATTGAGTATATGTTTTCAAACAAGCAGTGAAGAAAAATAAAACCAAAAGCCACCAGATCACTTGTCCCACCTGCTCCTCAATTTATTATACAATTCTTCCTACAGTATTTGATCTGGTCTAATTTTGAACGTTTTCAATGATGGCTTTTTCATCACTGCCTTTGGGACCCTGATCTACCATCTAATAATCTGTCTTACTGTAAGGATATCTTGCCTTATATCCTGCCTAAATCCTACTTTGCTTAATTATATCCTGTTATTCATATTTATACTCTCTTAGACTGCTCTAAATAATTCATTGATATACTTTGATGTTTAAACCCTTAAAATATTTGTAAATATTTTTTATGCTCCCCTTTAGCCAGTGTTTGACCAAGTTACTGTTTAGCCAGTTTCTTTTAGTCTTTGCTTTCAAGTCTGTCCTTTAATTGCCATCTTCTGTTACTGGTTTCCAAACAGCATTCATTGACAATATCCTCCTTATATTAAGGTACAGCCCACAAAATTCTGAAAGTAAAGTCCATGATAACTCAGAAAACTACTAGGCTGTATTTCAAATAGGCATACAATTTGTCAAGTATAGGCTTTGTTCCTGTTAATAGATCCCAGACATCTACTGCTCAACAGCTATTTTTATTAAAATTTTATTGCACACCAAATTCCAAGTCACTGACTAGATCTTTCTTAGTTCATTAATAGAAACTACTCTTTTTATCCAAATAGCTGTCTTTTACTCTTCCATTTCTAAGTTGCCTTGCACACAGGACAAAAAGAAAATGATTTCCTGTGAGTCACTAAAATGTGTACAAATTACCATCATTCAGCAACGGAAAACTGATGCCAGAAAAAGCTTCAGTAGGGAACTAAAAAGCAAAGAAGAACATCCCCATATAACATAATGCTTATTCTGCTGTTGTATCTTGTTTCCAACTTCCATTACTCTGTCTGATCTTGTGGGAGCCTCCAACCACTATGACAGTTCCTGGAAAAGTGTTAGTAAATGTTTCAGCAAATACTATCCTAATGTAAGTTAGAAGATGGAGAAATCTCCCCTCTGGACACTGTGCACAATCTACTGCTGCAACAATGGTCCAGATATATTTCTATACATCTTTCCTAATCCTAGACCTGCACAAATCTTTATATTGCTTTGCATATAATTAATTTTTTTTCATTAAGATGGATCACTTCAAATTTCTTACTGTTTCTTTATCATTTAAATTTAATAATTGGCTTCAACCTCCAGGAATACTTTCTCCTTACAATGCAGTGTCAACACAATATATAAAGTGCTGATCGATCTCCATTACTCATCAATCTGCTTACAACTTCAACACATTTAATAAAGAATGTCTCTCTTATTCATAGAAATTTTATCTGCTGTAACACCCAGAACAAGACAGGTAATGTCTGCATATATAAGGCTATATAGAGCTCCTGCACCCCAAGAATGACATTTAGACAAACTTTGAACGTTGCACTTAGAACAATTAAAAAAATTGATTGCTGGCTTATCTCATTAGTGTCTCATCAATAAAATATTAGCCTAAGATTACTCCCCTTTTCCCTAGCTAAAAGTAGTTACCAGTACTAACAGCACTATCTAGCTCTTTAGCACACAGCTTTTTCATAGTTTTGGAATATGATTGCAATACTTTACAGAACAGATAGTCTCCTCCATCTCCACTAACACTATACATTTTAATGCTGAAGTCTCCTTTGCACAAGCTATATTGCATGCTGAACAGCATACACAGAATTCCCATGTTGCAAGACACCTCAATATAACTGGAAGAAGCACCACCACATCTGACCCCTTTGTAAAACAGAAAAGTCAAAAGAAAGGAACAGCTAACAGATTCTCCACATTTTAAAAGAAACAAGACTACTGTAAACTGGCTGCTATGAAAGGATCTATATTCCAAAACAGGCTTGCCCTTCCGCAGCTGGACAGTTTGCAAAGCCAGCTGGAACTCTCTCCAGTGAGCTTCAGGCTTGGAAAATCTGGAGCTCAGCCAGTTTCCTCCATCAGTGCTGGCTACCCTCAGGCAAGCCAGCTGTAATCTTGCTCTTCCGGACAAGTCCCAGGCAAGATGGCCAGCAGCTCTTCGCTGCGCTCTGATTTTGGGGAGCACTAAGAAGTGTGAAGAGTGTGATCACTGTGACCACAAAAAAGCCAATACTTATGAACAATTACTAATGGGATATGGAGATGCTGCTGGGTTATCTGTTTGGCGCCTGAGTTGATGGTTGTTGTGGTATGTAAGATTTTTTTCATCCAGTAACTCTGTCTGATGCTGCTTTTGTCTGTACAGAACTAATGTGAGCGCCATTAAGAAGTGGGTGGTTAATGTAATGTGTGGTTCTATTAACTAATAACTGATAGATTGAAAGCAAATACAGAAAGTCAGTTTTGTGATAAGCCAATAAATTATAATTTTTAATGTATTCACTTCTCTAAATATTTTCTAGAAAATTTTAGAAAATTCTAGAAAACATAATTTTGCTCTGCATAGTTTGCTACCTTTGAAAATGTTGTGGTCATTTCATGTATCCAGCAAGATGAAAATCCAGTCCTAGACCTATGACTTCCTTACAGACAGAAAACAATTTCTTTAGCCCATCAAATCAATCTCCACGATATATTACTTTAGCAGTTTTCAGCTCCCTCATATTGCATAGGTACGTTGCAGAAGATGACAGCAACTCTTCACATTGTTAATCTCTATTCATGTTAACATCACAATTGCTTGCTTTGAGTACGCAGTGACATGTGAGAAAGACACACAGAAGGTGTCTCTCCCATAAATTTGGCTTTATCCCATTCTGAAAATACTCCACAAGAACTATAATCATAAGAGTAAGAACTCCTGTGGACTTACTGACACATTTTTGCTCTACATCAGTGTTTCTCAAAAGGTGGGGTGCAACCTGCCTAGTGGGCACAGGAGTGTTTAAAGTGGGTTGCAAAACACTGGAAAAAGTTGTGTTACCTGGCAGTAGTATAGTCCTAAGACTGTGGTATGAGATAAGGCTAGACTTACTAGCCATGAACGTTTACACTTGTCAAGAACCTGTCAGGGGCTGTCAGAAATTTGCTTTCCCCAGGACAGGGAGTAATTTTTACACCTACTGCCTGTATTTACAACTAGTTCCTGCTCCCCTACCTTGAAGAACCAAACTTATTGTAAATTCAGTCTTAGGAAACGTGGACAAATCAGAAAAAAAGTCACAAGAAGTCTGAGGAACACTTTTCTAACTAATACAACAGTCCAGAAGAGGTGGGGAGAACCTACTTTAGAAAAAGAAAGAATGAAGCGGCTGAACAGAAAGCAGACGAATTAAGGCACAAAATATCCAAATGTCTTGTGTGTATTACAAAAGCCAGAGTCAGAAGTTTTAGCATCTAAGATGGTCTTACACATTAAAACTATGCTCACTAAAAGATGGTGAAATTATACTAATTTAATTTTAAAGTCAGTAATTTAACTGCTAGACAGCATCTGTAAGGTTCAAAAGACATGGCTTTGATGGCTCAGACATTTTCAGATTGTGCACTGCTACTTTTAAATTAAAGCAGAAGAAATATTTTCTCTCCACACACCCTACAAATTATTTATAACCATTATAGAGCCTATAAACTCAAGGGTAGATCACTGTAAGGTTTTACATTACCATATGTGCATTTCTGAATCTTGATAATATAAATTTTTTACCAACTTGATACACCTTCTGGAACTTGTCAATTTGATTTTGAAACCTAAGTCAAGTACTTTACTCATACCTACACAGAAAGCACAGACAAAGAAAACTCTTAGATCTTTCCTTGAAGGATGACAATGCCTGTATAAACTCAAGGCCTTGTAAAAATTCTAAATGTATTTTAATTGCAACTGTAAACACACATGCAAGATCCTATATAACAACGTGATAAATTCACCACACTCAGTGAGTAACTGACTGTATAGTTGCCTTACTGATAGTGCCTTTGAAATTAATGAGTCTAAGTACATAATACTCCAATATGCACAACAACGATGTATTTCAGTAAATAAAGTATGGCACTATTTCTAAACAAAACATGCTGGTACAGTACAGCTATTCTTCTACAAGATTTTATAACTATGTGTAGAAGAGTTTAAAATGAGACACAGTTAATTTTAATGCAGACTAATCTAAGCAAAGCAGCATACCTAATGACATACTAAAAATTATACTCTTGCCTTTAAGTCTTGAAAAGCTTTCTGTTCTACATTTGTAATTAACTCAAATTCCACTGTGCTCATATAATGATCACTGCATTCCAGACAAAAAGGCCAAGAGTGTACTTTCTTAAATTTAAGCTATAAAGTTATTTAAACTAATGGTTGAACATACATGTGAACTGCCATAAAATGAGGTACTACTATGTATCACAGAATATGATACAAACAAACAAAAAAGTATTTTCCCAAACAAGCTGTAATAAAAATAACATTGAAAACTGCTATTCAGCATGTTAAGAAATTCTCTTTTATACTACAGTACCTACCAGTTGAGAACTCTGATTTGACTGTACCACCTTAACCTGAGGAGGCTGCACTGTATTTGATACAGAGACTGTGCAAATGTTGTTTGGTTGCCTTATTCCTATTGTCTGCGTTGTGACAACAGAGGAAATGCTTCCAGAGGCAGATTGAGGTATAACTTGTGATAGCTTGGTTTGTTGAAGTGACTGCTGAGACGGCTGTCCTTGCAAAACTGAATGTTGACTATTCAGTAAAGATTGTCTCAATGCAGGTAGACTTTTCTAAAAACAGAAGAAAGTTTATGAAATATCAAATTTAGCAGGTTGACAAAAAATATTCTGTAAACATATTAAAAGAATGCAGCTTTCTTTCCAACTTTACTATCTGCCTATTCATTAAAACGAAGAAAGATTGAACATATTTTCTAAGAGGGAAGGCTCAGTTTACATTTTTAATATGCTTTCAATTTGGATTTAGCAACCGTGTAGATTTTGATGTGCCCTAATTCCACTGTAGCAGTAAAATAAAAACTCCCCTTTCTCAAGACTATCTAGAACTTGTAGCTTAGGTCTTTGGAAGGGCAAAACATGGAAATAGAAAAGGCAGAACCGTAGGAACAACCCTATTCCCATTGCATGCTAGAAGTAGTAAGCTGCACCAATTTACTTCTCCTGACATGCCTCCAGTACCTAGAACAAGATGATTTAACTCTTGATGCCCTACAGCAATAGCTGTTTACTGTATTATTACTGATCTAATGTATTCTGACTGGATTAGAAAAGTGTACTATTTTATGCTTCATGTTCAGACCAGTTGAACCAAAAAATATAGTTCTAAAAGGCTATACTGTACCTTCACGAATAAACTTTTTACTTTTTAAGTGGTAGTAGCATTCTTTTGAAGTGCTCCCCCCAGGCAGCTGTAGAATGCAACAGTGTTTAGCCCGAGCTACAGTTCTTTCTAAACTTCGAATATTTATTTAAAAACTTAATGGCTGTTGCCGAGAAAGGACTTCAAAGAAAGGAAACAAGTTAAAACTTATCATGATGCTAGAAGTGACTGCACTGTAAGAGCAGGAAAAGGCATAAATAAGGGTTAATGATAACTTGAAAAAACAGAAGCAGAGGGAAAGAATTCTGAAGAAAAGTTGAAGGGAGAGAAGAAAGAGAAGAAATCTGCCCTAAACTGAGAAGTTTTGGACTAGAAGAAAAATGCTTTTAAAATTATAGTTGTGGTTTTGTTGGGGCATGATTAAACACGCTTTGTATGTGTGTATATAATCTTGCATATGGAAGCTATTGTAGCTAATGTACAAGAACCAACTAAAAGTTAAATTTACCCCCACGTATACTAACTTAGGACCCAACAATAAATCCATTTGGTATCACATGGGAACTTCTATTATAGATTAGTTCCCGATTACAAGCAGGATCAGCTAATCAATTATTTCAACAGTATTATCCAGTTTAGTTTTTCGTAATCGCCATGACACATGCATTGAAAGTTATCGATGACTCAAATGTAGATTACAAAACCAATATGGAAAAAGCTTATTAAATTACTTGAAGCATTCTATAGAAATAACTTGTGACTCTTCCAAACGTGAATGCTGTACATCTTCACAAAAAATGACCTACTACCATAGAAAAGTATATGCATTATAACAGTAAAGAATCACTACAGAATAGACAATGGATGATTTCCAAACTAGGGAGTAACTGTTTTTTTATAAAAATCTAATAACTACCATGTTCTGGATCAGGGCTACTCAAGCAGCAAACTCCAGATCAGCTCTGGACGACAAATTAATTTTTCTTAAACCTAAACCAAGGCCCCGAACACATGAGGTCTCCTTTCTGTAGGAAACCCCTATTTCTTACCATTCTCTCAACCTGTCAGGGAGCAGTCGGCTGCAGCACACAGCCACAGCTCCCAACACAAAAACAGTAAGCAGCACCTGGCTGGCCTGACAGAGATGGAGCCTGCACGCCACTTCCAGTCAAGATTTCAGCAGAAATTGGCAGCACAAAGTAAAAAATTGAGTAGTCCTGCTCTAGACAGGCAAAGCTAATTCCATTTTAAAAGTATATTCGAAAACTTAATAATGCAAATGTTAATACGTCTAAACAATATTCACATTACCTTAAGGAAAGGTACAAGATATGGCTGAGGAGATGATTTGAGTTCCGACTGAAGACGGCCTGTAAATTCTTCTGGATCAATCTTTGCATCCTTCAGGGGGAAGGAAAAAAAGCATCAAAAACTCAATTCAGTTGTTTGGTTGCCTTTTTTCCAGATAATATCCATGTATATATCTCTAGCTAAACAGGCTACCATATCAAGAAGAACTTTCAAAGCTGCAGTCCCTCAACTCCTCTACATCTATCAAATTCTTCTGTCAAGAGCTAATTTATGTAACATGCTACTCAGAATTCAGGGAGTTCCCTTGGGGATGCACAATTTCAGACACAACGAGATCCCACAAACACTCAAATCTTTTTTTGGAATTCCATTCTCTTGCTAACATTTACACAGTGATTTCTCTTTAAAAATATTAATAAAAAACCAGGTTGTTGAAGTAACCTTACATACTATTAAAAAATTTGTCAGCCCTTGTAATCAGAAAACATCTTTACTTAATTCCAAAACAAATCTTGAAGGTTCAATTTAACTTAGTAGAATATTTGTACACATATATAAAAAACTATATATGTAAAGCATATGCATATATAAAAAGTATACATATAAGTATATATATAAAATTTTCACCTATATAAATGTATGTATGTGTATATAGTCACAAACTATACACTTACAAATATATGAAATATATATTCAGTAGTTTACTTAATAGTTAATACAGGACAACTCTATAACCCAGGTGTATTTTATCATACTTCTAAAGTACCATTAGTTACAATCCCAGGTTGTAGTAAGAATATTCATAAGCTTTCCTGGACTGATACAGAACAAGAACAAAACCAAAACAACCAAAACAACCTTCAATAAAAATGTTTTATATATGTGTCTCAACATTTTGTTTGAAATATTGTAAGTAGTTATCTTTACTTAGTTAATCTTTCTTAGTTTTCAAAAGTTAAAACAAGTTTTTACTGGAACCACAGAATATTATTGTTGAATAGCTTATACTTGAAAGGCTTGTATAAAATACACAGGTTTCTCTGTCAATGAATTCAAAGAAATATGTATCAATTCTGTTAAATCCATTTGTCCAGCTCCACAGTAACATCTGTCTGCAACTCATTTACACAATTCACCGAAACACCTATTGCACTGGAAACTACAGTAAGTCAAGACTTTTTCTGGGCACAAGGACTGTAGCTGAAACACAACTTTGCCTCTTCAAATCCACTTGCAGTTAAGGCTTGATGCAGGGGCATCTGTCTGCAGAACTGCTTGGACTCAGCAGCTTAGCAAAATACTTTTCCTTCAGTCCTAGAAACTCTAAATCACATTGTGGAGGCATATATCTACATTCATTCTGTGGTTAAAACTTTTAACAGCTTCTTAGTGTTTCAGAAATGACTATGGTTTGGAAGAACAGAAACTTAATGAATCCTCAAGAAAAAATTCTGTATTTTACTGTTTTTCTAAATAAATGACTGAAATATTGTCCATCAAAACAAGAGTGGTTTTGACAAATGCATACTAAATACTTTGTTGCATCTCCCCTTTCAGCAACTAAGGGAAAGCCTACCTTTAACAGATTTTTGAAGATATGTAATGTACAGTATATTTGCATTTTGGTGTAGCCCAACTCCTTTCACTTTCATTACAGCAAAAAAAATTAAGACCAAAGCAATAGCTTTCAGCATACATAAACAACAAGCTTAATAGATAACTGACAAAATGAAAGATAACTAAATATTTACCAACAAATCTTGAACCAGAGCTTTCACATTACGAGATGTTTCTGGAGATGGTGAATTATGAGAAGCAAGTTTTATAAGGGTAGCTAAAAAGTTTTTGCATTTTTTCACGTTCTCTTGCATTTCCTGCAAAAGCCAAAGAAAACAAATATCAGATCCATGCTGTTTTCCAATCAGGATCCATGTATGCTCTGATCACTAAAGAGGGAAAATGGTGAAATTGTTCTAATTCAGGCAGGACATATTTGAAATACATCTGCAGCTATTTTACTATTACCTGACATTTTCTTCACTTCTTTATGTAACTGAACATCATACCTCACGAATACTAACAAAAAAAAAATAAATCAATGACAGAAATATATTTAATTTTTTACAGTCTGTTTTGATGAAAATAACCTTAAATATGAGAAGTAACAACAATTTGTTGGAGATGCATTCTCCTTTGAGATGCCCAATACACAATGTACAATGTTCCCCAAGCTATCTTATTTTGTTAAATTATTGACTCAGTATGTTTTTGTACAAAGCAGCTACAGCAGTAAAATCAAATTAGAAATAGTCTTCAAACATCATCATATCTAATCTTTTCTTCATCAGTAGAAAAACAGATGCTTTCATTTTTTCAAGCCATCGTTTTTATGTGGTGTAATTACTCTGAGAAACAGAAACGTTACACTTCAGTGTAACCACAATTTTGAGGCCCAGCAGCATGATAATAATGAAGTCCATAGAGTGAAGGCCTGATTGTTCTGTCTACAGAAACAGAATAGTTCTTTCACTACTAACACATACATGGCAAGATGGGGAAAGCTGACCACAAGTGTTCTTGCTCCCTCTCAGAATTTGTATTCTATTTAGTTGAAATGACGGGAAGGGTTTCTTGTTTGTAAAGTATTTGTTCCATCACAGGAACCATGCTTGCGCAAAGAAAAAGTTCTTTCTGCTTCTGAATAGACCTGAGAAGTTCATAAAGTACTAAGAAAACCAAGTATCCAGTATTTTAAAACTTACCAACTTACCTGTGACACAACTGTAGTTCCAGGTACAGGAGAGCTTGGTATGACCTGGGGCTGTGCTGGTACTTGTGCTGTTGTATGAGGTGGAAGTGGCAGCCGAGGCTGACCCTGGTTTTGTGCTGAAGCTTGAGTATGTCCACCAGTAATTACCGCAGGTTGTTGAGAGGCTGATGTTCCAGTTGCTACTGTTGTCTTGAATAAATTTTGAGTGCTCGTTGTAGCTACTGATACCTATTAATATTTTATATTGAAAAAACAGGTAATTATCTTCTTTTATTTCTTGTACTCAAACACAAAGCTCTTGAAAACCTGACAATAAAACGTGTTTCCTTTCAAATACACCCTTACTGACAAAATAAAACCATTGACTTTACTTACTTACCATAACCCTAATTTTGTCACCCTTTACTGAACAGTGAGAGTCCTCATTTAAAGTTCTTTTTATTACAAAATCAAATGTACCACTAAAAAACGCGTTGCTATTATCCAGCCCTTTAAATCACCATGACGATGTAACTTTCGTAACTCAACTTTCTGTAAATTTGGGCCTTAATATAAACAGGTCAATTTCCAATGATCTGTGGTCATGTCATCAGGTTTACAATTATCTAAACCACAGTTACAGTGACAGCTCAGATCGAGATGACACAAATGCACCAACACAGCTTCCCAACCTAATCTGAGCCCAGCAGCAGCATATACGCTTTTGCACCAGCGCACAGCCCTAGCGAACAAAACTGTCCTGAGCCTAGCTGGGCCGCAGGCAAAGACCACGCCGCACACTCCTCAACTTTAGGAAGCTGGAAAGCTTATCAGGCTGCACAGAGCACCACGGATCACCCCCTCATCCATCCGGTTCAGCTCTCACGCTTTATCTGACCTAGTGAGCCACCCTTCCAAGTGCCAAAAAGTCTCAGACAGACACACCAAAGGGGACTGCAGAAGCTAGAGAGCCCATCCAGGCAACAGAACATGCTGAGCAGAAGCTACCAGGACCTCCCAATCCAGCCTGACTGCAGCGCTTTGCTCCGTCTTGGGCACAGACGCAGAACAAGCCGACCCAGGCACCGGCACTGCGATGCCACGGGTGATGTGTGGAGCCTGGGGCACCGGCGACCACACAGCAGAGACCACAGCTTTCCACAGGGGACAAATGTAGTGCACCATGTCCACCACTGAAACAGTGTTTGGGAATCCAGCTGATCTAAGTTTTTTCTTTAAAAAAAAAAAAGCTTAAAACTGAATCTATACTGCCCCCAAATTTTTTATCATCAAGGAAAGAGCAAAAAATAAGATCCAGGCTATCACTCAGCACCTGCGTAACAGTCTGACTATACATTCATTATTAATTTCTGGGATTACGTTTGCGATAAAAGCAAACACGAACATTAAAATTCACTTTCGAAAAAACACATAAATACAAACATCCTTTTCTTCACCCATCTTTTCCTTTTTATATTCTTACTACTTACTGTGGTATGTGAAAGAATAGAGCCTCCTGGCAGAGTTGCAGCAGACGTAGCACTGACAGGTGTAGCAGTTGATTGAACAACTTTGGCTTGCACTGGAAGTCCTAGGCGGACAGTAGATGTGGCTACAGAAGTTGGTTGCTAATAAAGGAAAAACAAGCATTTTATTTTTTTTCCTCCTTCGTAACTTGATCTCCAAGACTTTTTAATAATAGTGATTACATGAATAATCATTACTAATGCTGAAAAAAACCCGCCCAAAACAGTAACATGTTCTTAAATATATATTCACAAATAATGCAAAAATGAACTTTCTTATGTTCAATGATACATTTGCAATATTTCTCCTATAAGCTACTTCTCATACAGCTATATGGAAAAGATTAGAAAAAATAGGATGTGACCTGCAAAAAATTGATGTTACATTAATGTATTAGTTCAACTGTAATATTTACTTGTCAGTATTCGTGAATATTTGAGTTTATAATTGCCAGTAACACATATTGATCCTTTTGATATTTACTGGCCTGTTCTAACGCTTTTTCTTGAAGGAAATTTATATGGAGAGAAAAGTCAGAGAGCAGAAAAATATTTTCAAAGTAATTTCAGATTTAATTATATAGAAACTAACTTGTACAGAAATGAAGTCTAAGCATTTGGAGAATCTCTGTCATAGAACACACACTCTGTAAGCAGACAGCAACTAGAATGTTCAGTGCAGATAAAGGAAAATTACTGACTTAACCGCCTTTCACTCAGTAGCCTGCTCTACAACTCAGTAAATTTGTCTCATGCAGCAAACATATTAATTGTTTTTGCAATTTACTTTATTTGAGAGATTGAAATCTCTTATCATCATATAAAAGGACAAGATTTAGGAATAAAAAAAAGTCTCCAGGAAAGTTGTTATTTAATTCTACAAGAATGTAAACACCATTATGGAAGAAATACATCACACAATATGACAATTATGACAAAAAGAGAACAGCTCATTATTAAAAATGGAGGCCCCACTGGTCTCTTCTAACTTGCAGTTATTAAGATTTGCATTCAAACACATACTTAGAAAAGACAAATTTTCTAAGTGGCTGGAGTAATAAATCATGGACAATATTATTTCTCACAAGATAAAACTAATTTTCCTTGATTTACATTTTAAGTTATATGTCTCTGTAGTTAATATTTTATAAACAATGGCTTATTTTAGATTCTTATATTGTCTATTAAACCTACATAAAATAATTCTTCAAAGAACATCCAGGATACTTAGGAGATCTCCAAAAGGAACAGAGGCCCAGGCAGGCATTCAAAGCCCCAAGCATTCCCTACCAATCAGTCCAGCAACATCATCTACTGGATATCAATCTTCTGTACTTGGGGGGGGGGGAATCTTTCTGACATCTGAACAAATTGGGTTTTTTGTTTGGATAGCTTTCAAGATTTTAAAAATCTTGACTAGGGATGTCTTCCATACTGAGACAGCCTAGAGGCAATAAACACCATCATTATGAACAGGTAGAATTGTCTGGTTTTTTGGAAGAAGGATCTGTGCTGGTTTTGGCTGGGGTAGAGTTCATTTTCTTCACAGTAGCTGGTATGGGGCTATGTTTTGGATTTGTGCTGAACACAGTGTTGATAACACAGGGATGTTTTCGTTACTGCTGAGCAGTGCTTACCCAGAGCCAAGGGCTTTTCTGCTCCTCCCCCCACCCCACCAGCAGGAGGCTGGGGGGGCACAAGGAGTTGGGAGGGGACACAGCCGGGACAGCTGACCCCAACTGACCCAAGAGATATCCCAGACCATATGACGTCATGCTCAGCACAGAAAGCTGGGGGAAGAAGGAGGAAGGGGGGACGTTGGGAGTGATGGCGTTTGTCTTCCCCAGTCCCTGTCAGGCGTGATGGAGCCCTGCTGTCCTGGAGATGGCTGAACACTGCCTGCCCGTGGGAAGTGGGGAATGGATTCCTTGGTTTGCTTTGCTTGTGTGGGCGGCTTTTGCTTTACCTATTAAACTGTCTTTATTTCAACCCATGAGTTAACTCACTTTTACTCTTCTGATTCTTTCCCCCATTCCACCCGGGCAGGGGAGCGAGCAAGCGGCTGTGTGCTGCTTAGTTGCTCGCTGGGGTTAACCACGACAGGATCATATAAGCTTTTTCTGTTTCTGTGTATCTTTTTCATTTGCTTAAACTCAGTGTTTCCAACCTAAAAATATAGCATGCCTGTGATATCTGCCCCCTTTCTTGTCACTAAGTGCTTCCAGAAGTAAGGATTTACAAAGCAAGCAGATAACCAGGCAAACTTCTGGCAGCTACTCAGTTCCGAGAAAGACCTGCAGCCAGAAATCTGCAAATACATAGCTCAGGCTGCTAGCTAGAGCATTTTTCTCAGCTAATAAAAGCCCACAATTCATCACAGGAACATACTTGAAAACAAAACTGCATATAATTAAAATATAAAATTTCAGTATCGTAACAGTGCATTATCCAACTAAGTATGTGTATTCAACTGTGCAGACCACAGGAGCAAACTGTGCAACATGAAGACTAAATTCACCCTCAGTTTTAAAAATCAATAGTGACAAAAGCCTCTGATACAAAATGGCAGTAAAATCTATTAATGTGTTGGATATGAAGAAAAAGCCTTACTACCAAAGAACTGCAAACAAAGCAATGCAACAGTTTACTAACGTGGTTCCAAAACTCATAAACGTTAAAGAGGTAAGTATGAAATGAGTGGATGAGAAACATAACAAGGAACTAGCCCAGAGAAATTCTTAAGTATCATGGAAATGATCTTCAAATAACAGCTACAAGTTGCCAGAAGACACTATAAGGACTCCCAACACAAATACTTCAAGAACTGGTAAAAACTATTTAGAAAATAGCTGTGCTTTCTATGAAATGAAAGCTGTAAACATATCTCATGAGAAATCCATCAAAATGAAAACAAAAATTATCAACATTATATTAAAAAAAAAAATCATAACCCAATGTGTCAAGCTCCTACTGGAACAATCTAAAAGAATTTATGGTGTTCTTTAAAGAACTACTAGTTTGGTATGATGCTATTAAATTCCAAAATTACCACAAGAGGCTTAGAAAGGAATATATTTTCAAACGTAACTGTATTATCTTTGATTAGACACATCACATATTTTTACATTTCCTAAATACATGAAAGTAATGTTTAAGAGGCTTTTTCCCTGTACTCAGGCATTAAAAGGCAGGAAACTAGAACATGAATGAACACAGTATATAATCCACTACCAATCTCCATGGGGACACTTGAGAATGCTTAAGATAGCCTTTTGTATACACACTTGAGCCAGCTCTGTCCACACAGAGATCAGAAATTCTAAGTGGAGAACAGCACAGTGCTACTGTGGAAATAAGGATTTCAAAATGGATCTGGCTTACATCTGGCCAGCTTGAAGAGGGGATGTCCCAAGGTTCGTTCTGCCTGCACAAGTCATGCAGATAATGCAAGTGACTCCAGTTTCAGGGTGCAACAAGTCACTTCCACAAAGACAGTCAGTGCACATTAGAACTGTTCACCGAAGAAATCAGCATGGAATTACTCTGTATCCTGGAAATTCACTCCCTAAATAACTACATCTTCACTTTCCTATGTAGACCTTCTCCCCAGAGCTCTGGACATGTGAATAATAGAGAGGCAAAGCTCAAGACGTAAACAGGAGCAAATCACATTGTACCTGCTGTGCACAAACAAGCTGCTTCTATAGTCGAAGGAATATACAAGGCTGCATTTGAAAAAGCAGGCCACTTGAACATGGAGAAAATACGCCAAAATATCCAGGGATTATCTGTCACTGCAAAGGCACGACTACACCAGTTTTAGGGACTGCATTGTGTACTCACAGCTTTATAAAATCAAGACAATTTAAACTGCCACAAGTTGGTACACTGATGTATGTAAATCCTTGGAAAGAGGTTTGTGGTATACTTGTATTTTGTACTATAGTACCACCTACTGATGAACGCTGAGGGTACCAGCAACACAGTCTGCACTACAAAGCAAGAGAGCTTACTTTTGACAAGTATGCTGCATATATTTTTTCATGATCAGCCCTGTCAATAAACTTGGCCACTATCAACCACACAAGGAAGAAAGAAAATATGCCAATAGCATTTTAACAAACATTAACACAAAAGCAGGGGCAAGGTTATCATGATACACATCATGACACCTCTTTATGCGTCTTCCACAACATGGCTTCACTAGGTATTACACAAAACTTAATTTTAACAGAATATGACCTTTAAGTTCATATTTAAATTTGCAAAATATGAAATAAAAGTCAATTTTATTTTTAACCATTAATCCAGAAGACTTCTTACAAACAAAATAGGCCATGCTAAGATGCCCTGATGCCTCAAACAATAGAAGACAGTGTTTAACAAAGAAAAAAAATTAAAGTGGGATCACAGACAATGGCAGAAGCATAGGCTAAACATCAAATCTGGTAACTCATTTGTATCGGGTTTGTGAGGCAAGGTTTTGGTAGCAGGGGAGCTACAGAGGTGGCTTCTGTGAGGAGCTGCTAGAAGCTTCCCCTATGTCCGACAGAGCCAATGCCAGCCAGCTCCAAGACAGACCCACCAGTGGCCAAGGCCAAGCCCATCAGCGATGGTGGTAGCACCTCTGGGATAATGTATTTAAGAAGGGGGTAAAAAAAACCTGTGCAACTGTAGCCGGAGAGAGGAGTGAGAAGATGTGAGAGAAACAACCCTGCAGACACCAAGGTCAGTGAAGAAGGAGGGGGAGGAGATGCTCCAGGCACCGGAGCGAAGATTCCCCTGCAGCCCGTGGGGAAGACCATGGTGAGGCAGGTTGTCCCCCTGCAGCCCAGGGAGGTCCACGGTGGAGCAGATCTCCACCTGCAGCCCGTGGAGGACCCCACACCGGAGCAGGGGGATGCCCAAAGGAGGCTGTGACCCTGTGGGAAGCCCACACTGGAGCAGGCTCCTGGCAGGACCTGTGTCCCCATGGAGAGAGGAGCTCACGCTGGAGCAGGTCTTCTGGCAGGACTTGTGACCCCATGGGGGACCCACGCTGGAGCAGTCTGTGCCTGAAGGACTGCAGCCCAGGGAAGGGACCCACGCTGGAGGAAGAGAAG